CACCCTCACTTGACCAGAACCCACCTGATCACAGCCCTTGGCAGGGTATGAAAAGACGGGAGCCCTCTCCAGCTACATACAATCCTGTGTGTGTGGACAGACTTCCAGGGGCCAGTGGTAAAACAGAAGTCTTTCCTCTCATTCCTGGGGTTCCTCCTGCAGGAGCCCAGTCCCAAGGCCTGCACAACAATGTGGTGAGGTAATGATAAGACAATAATAAGGATAAGAGGGACCCCAATGGTGATCCTAGCTGGAGGCAGCAGCCGGACAATGTCTTAGCAATCCCATCCGCAAAGCAGCAACCCCACAAAAAGGTCTGGGCAGATCCCTGACCCATCTAGGACAGGGAGAGACACTATTCCCTTTGCTTTCACAAAAGACATGCCATATGTGCCAGTTTGAAGGGAATTGCCCCCATAAGCTCATAGCAAGTGGCACTAATAGAAGTTTGACTTGGTTGGAGGAGGTGTGCTACTTCTTTATTTTCTTCCTCACAAAACGGGGGGAAGGGGATGGAGTAGGGTTTGTGAAAAACCTATTAAGTTTTGGCTGCTTGAAACAGAATAATAAAAATAAAATAAAATAAAAAATAAAAATAAAACTTCAGTGACATAAAGTACTTATTTAGTGATGGACTTCTGATGGTGACAGCAGCCTTTGAGCCATGGGATGCCGAGGTGTGCTACTTCTTTATTTTCTTCCTCACAAAACGGGGGGAAGGGGAAGGAGCAGGGTTTGTGAAAAACCTATTGAGTTTTGGCTGCTTAAAACAGAATAATAAAAATAAAACTTCAGTGACATCAAGTGCTTATTTAGTGATGGACTTTTGATGGTGACAGCAGCCTTTGAGCCATGGGATGCTTCTAAAACTTGCTCGCAAATGTTGCTGGTGGATCCCATGTAAGGACAGAGGTACAGCGGGTTTCAGGTGGTACCTCTTCCCAGAGTCAGCATATCCACACAGCTGTTTGGTCTGTGAGAGCAGAGCAGCAGGAGTGGGAAGAGCTTCGATGAAATATTCAGGAAGTGAACACTCGCCTCAGGATCGCTACTGTGGCACTGTTCTGATGCCCAGATTTTGCTCACTAGGGCCATAACCAAAGAGCTCACGATTGAGCCTACTGACGTTAGCTTGGGGGCAAGGCTTGGGCGGTTTCGGGGGCGGAGCCAGTAGTGAGCTGGCACTGCGGGTCGGTTGCGGCTGCGGAACCTAACCGGCCTGAGATACCCTGAGATACGGTGCAAGCTCAGCGTGAAGAGTGCACAGGCTCACCATCAGACCGCTGGAGGCACCTGGGAGAGGCCACGGGTGAGTTCCCATGGCTACAGGGATTGTGGTGGTGAAGGGCAAGGGCGAGGTCACCCAGCACCCAGCCCGTGCTGGGAGTCCTCCCCAAGCAAGACTGCAGTCTTTCAGAGGGAGTTCCCGGAGAGGGGGCAGGAGGCGCCCGAGCTGCGGGCCTGGCCTGATTCAGGATCTCAGAATCCTGCGCTGGTGCTAGGGAAATGGGTCATGAAGGATGGGTGTCTTCCGGGGAGTGTATTTTGGAACCCCAGCAGGGGCCGGATCGCGTCTATAGGCAGTGAGGAGAATAGTGGTTCACACCCCCCCCAACAGTGCCAAACACCAGACCCAGCCTGTGGACCTCTGTCTTGGGCAAGCATCGTCTGGCATGAATCCGAAGAGTCTTTAGGTAGGACCTGAACACTCATCATGACCCCTTATGCTGCTGTGGCGGAGGACTCACACAGCAGAGTCTACACTTTCCTGGGGTGGGGTGGGGGGATCCCATGCAGGGGAAGCAAATGGGAAGGGACCTGTGCCCCCAAAAGAGACCACACCTGGGTTCCAGTCTTCTAGAGAGTCTCCTGCACTCTGGGCTCTGCCAGGAGAAGACTGCCTGCCAAGTTTTCATAAGGCCCCTACCAAAAAAAAAGCTAGGTGAAATCCTCTTTGGGTTTGACATTCAAGGATCCCAGGGCCTCCCGATTTTCTTTGATGTTGCCAGTTCCTCCCCTTCTTTAGCTCCCTCAGCCCTCACCTTTTGCTTGCTTTTGGTCTTCTGTTGGAATGCCCCCATATCCAGCTCCTTTCTCCCATCTCCAGGTAAATGGAAATCAGTAACACCCACTAAACTGTGAGGTGCTTGTGCCACCCCCAGGCCATCTGTGACCACGAGTCTCTGTCATTGTCCATGTAGGGTTGCTTTATTCCTAGAAGACCAAGAGCTCAAGCAGGGCAAGAGCCTACCTTGTGCCTCCATGCCCTGCTTCTTCCCAGGCCTGAGTTGCATCCAGGACCAGCTGCTGTCCTCATATCTCCATCATGACACCCCTGCTCACGGTGCTCCTGGTGGTTCTGGTGGGCCTGCCTGTGGGTAAGGTGGATAGAAGCTAGAGGGACCTGGTTGTGGGACAGGCAGGTGGAAAGTCGGTAGGCTGGCCAGAGTTCCCCTGCCTTCTGACTGTCCTGACCTGGTGCCTAATGGGAGTGGGAGGTTGACTGGAGACAGCTGGGGTCTGACTGGCAGAAAAGGGATTTCTTCCTGTTTTCTGACCCCCCTCTCATGGCCCACAGCCCAGGCTCTGGAGTGCCATGTGTGTGCCTACAATGGAGACAACTGCTTCAAACCCATGCGCTGCCCAGCCATGGCCACCTACTGCATGACCACACGTACTTGTGAGTCTGGTAACCTGGAGCATAGGGATAGGAGCACAGGGAGGGAGACCCCACTTGCACTGGTGAACCTACAAGCTGAAATTGAGTCTTCCAAGGTCCTCATCCTCTCACTGCAACCTTTTTGTGTCCTGTCCCCTATAGACTTCACCCCATACCGGATGAAAGTGAGGAAGTCGTGTGTACCTAGCTGCTTTGAGACCGTGTACGACGGCTACTCCAAGCATGCATCTGCCACCTCCTGTTGCCAGTACTACCTCTGCAATGGGGCTGGCTTTGCTACCCCAGTGATGTTGGCCCTGGTCCCCGTACTCCTGGCCACCTTCTGGAGCTTGCTGTAAAGCTCTGTTTCCCCAGACAGACCCACTCAGACACAAAGCTCTTCAAAGACACAGTTGCACCCTCTCGCTTCACCAAACCCTCTTCCTTCGCCACAACAAGGGCCCATGGCTATCTACAAAAGGATCGATGAGATCCAGATACCTCACTCCAAGACACTTTTCACTTTCAGAAGGCTGATATATGGATCTAGAACTCTCTGCCAGGATCAGGGGCATCAGAGAAACTTGGAGAGAAGAGGACGTGTCAGTCAGTCAGCCACACCAATTTGAAGGAATTAGAGGCCAAATTCCACCTTGATAGCATCAGGAACCTGCCTCTGTCTACCCAGTAGATGACAGGCCTGCCAGAGGGGGACAAAAGATCATGAACTGGCCAGCAGCTGCCCAGGGCAAGCGTACAATGGAGACCATGTGAGGAAGCCTTTTGTTATTTCCAGCTGTCTCAGAAACTCTGCCAGACCTGGTATTGGGACAGCTCTTAGCTGAGGATAGCTAGCAATGGCTTCATATCCATAGGCTACTAAGATCCCTCCAGCCCTAACATCTCAGCCAGCCCCTTGACCTCACACCAGCTGCTGAGCCTTGAGGCTGGCAGGGACATGGGGCAGGCGGCCCATGCTGTATTTTTGTCTGGCCTGTACACTGGCCAGAGCTATTCTGGGCATGACAGGAAGTGAAGAAAGGCAGGTCAGAGCAGGCTAGTGAGGTGACCAGAACAGCAATGCAGACTTAAACGGGCTTCCCAGGTCCTATAGGCAGGTTCTGCAGGTCCTCTGGCCTCTTGGTAAATTATGGAAAGACAAATGCATAGGGAACCAGACCAAGTCCCGGATGATTGTGACTGAAGACTTCTGGGTGTCAAGACTCCAAAGAGCCCAACCCTGATTTAGGAGACACTGATCTACCTTTCACGCCAGTGTAGTTGACCCAGGAGGCCTTACCCTCTTCTCTGACTAGCACCCCAACTCATGTGCCACTGAGGAAACCCCTGAAGCTAGCCCAGGCCAGGGGTCAGGATGCTGGCCAATGTCCATGCAGTGGGATTATGGCTGGCTAGGAGAGTCTTATTGGTCATCACACCCTCCTGGTCACACATCCTGAATGCTTTTCTCAAACCACCCAGCTGTAGGAGCTCAGGACACGGAGGCCCATCCTGGGGATCTTCCTCCCTGTTCTTAGGCAGACCTGAGCTCTGCTGCTGAAAAGATACAGTTTTCTGTCTCAGTTTCCCCTTCTGGGGACAGGCCACTGGGAAATGAGAGATAGAAGCCTGCTGATGGGCTTACCCCGATCCTCAGGAATATGAACTGTGAGGCTTTATTACAAAGGTGAATTGGGTGGGAAATGGCCCAGAGATGAGGAGACATTGACTACCCATGAGTCTCATGGGAGGTCAGGGGTCATGGGGAGGAGCACAGGTGCATACGCAGCACATTGACTACAAAGCCCAAAAGGCAGCGCTGGCTGTGGTGTCCCCTGAGGTCCAGGCAGGATGCTGGGAGGAAGTCAGAGCTACCCCTACCCAAGCTGGCATAGAGCGCGCGCGCGCACACACACACACACACACACACACACACACACACACA